TACTGCCTCCCGCCGACTCCGGACTCGTCCGGATTCCTCACTCTCGGTGCAGCAACCTCGGGTTTCGTAGTGAAGACGCCGATGCTGAGGAGTAGTGAGGTCCCGTCGTACTACGGCGTGCGCCTTCAGGCCATCAGGGTGGGAGGCAGGCAGCTCAGCATACCTGCCTCGGTCTTCTCCGCCGGGTCGATCATGGACTCCGGCACAATCATCACGCGGCTTCCGGCGACGGCGTACTCTGCGCTGTCGTCGGCGTTCAAGGCCGGCATGAAGCAGTACCCGCCGGCGCAGCCCATGGGCATCTTCGACACGTGCTTCGACTTCAGCGGCCAGTCCAGCGTCAGCATACCGAGCGTCGCACTGGTGTTCTCCGGGGGCGTCGTCGTCGACCTCGCCACCGACGGGATCATTCTGGACAGCTGCCTCGCCTTCGCGGCCAACACCGACGACAGCTCCCTCGGCATCATCGGCAACGTGCAGCAGCGGACGATCGAGGTGCTGTACGACGTCGGCGGCGGCGCCGTGGGGTTCAAGGCTGGCGCATGCTGATCGGCGCGCACAAGGACACCGTTGATACTATTGGGATCTCCAGTTCGTCGTATACTAGTTTGCTGCTGCGAGCTATAGTAAAAGTGTCATAGTACATGAAGTGGGGCCAAACCATCAGCGCACTATAGTGCTTCGACTTGCAACGTGATGCAAGCGTGCAAACTACCGACCAAAACATACTTGTAATTGTCTTCGGGTAGTTTAATAAGAATGAAAAAGTCTTAGAAAAACCTTGAACTCGTAGTTAGGATCGGAAATGAACCCTGAACTCTAAATCCTTGAAAGCAGCACCCTATCTTATCCAATCCCGACTTATCCCGAACCCTTTTTAATTGTACACCGATACTACTGAACGTCAGATTTGACGGGACCTCTCAGCGAATGATTTGTTCATGCTGTGAGGGTTGAGCAAGCGACCGATTTGTTTGCTAAAAGGACACCTTCAGCATGAACCCTTCACATGGACAAACTTGTCATTAACATGAAAAGATAAGGTCTTGGGCAAAAAAATGGGCCAAAAAAAAACAATTTTGTCTCTAGAAAAAACAGGCCTTGGAAAAACTTATATTTCTTGGCCCGACTTAATTAACCAAAGCATGCAGACTTAGCATCAATATTATAATAAAACTACCGCATAGCCATCAGCATTGTTGCCTATGTGAACTCCTCGTGCTTCATAGGGTTCATGAGAGAAATGGTCATTGCTTCACTGGTAGCTCTGAGCTCTCGCTTAGATGCTCAGCGACGAGTTCATCCCCGAGCCCCATACCCACCTTATGATCATACAACTTATCAAAGAATATCTCCATGAGTCTTTCGCACCACAGACCCCCCCCCC